CAGATTCCGCGCCGTGACCTTAGTCTACGAACCGTTCAGCTGTTACGAGAAAATCGACGGCGTGATCGTCCCAGCGGATAACTGCGTCGACAATAACATGTTAAGAGAAATCGCAAATAACCTGAACTTCACCTACGTCTTCGTGGAACCTAGCGACGGCCAGTGGGGGCATCGGCTCGACAATGGGAGCTATACAGGTAGGGGGAGTTAAAGGTATGTTGGGTTAAGGTGGGTTTCATTGGGGGTGAAAATATGGCGGGGGTTTGTATTGGTGTGGATATGTATGTATGTCACTGTTGTATATGCAAATATAAGTATATCTAGATGCATATACATATGTGTGTGTGTATATATATATATATATATATATATATATATATAATATATATATGTGTGTGTGTGTGTGGTGTGTGTGTGTGTGGGGAGGGCGCGTGTCTGTGTGCTCGTGTGTGTACACATTCACACAACCTAACTTAAAATGAATAAATTGAATTAGAAATTGGCCGTAAATTATTACTGTAAATATTCCTAAAAGTAAGAAAAAAAAAACGTACTTCCTGCAGGAGTTGAAAAATATTACCCCAACGATTATCCTATAGGATTTAAAAGCACACTTCCTACTGGAGTTAAAAACATTACCCTAACGACAATCCTAGAGGAGTAAAGACGATCCAATAGGAGTGTAAAAAAACATACTTCCTGCAGGAATTAAGACGACTATCCCATAGGAATTAAAAAAAAAAAAAAAAAAAAAAAAAAAAAAACAGCGTATTTCCTTAAGGAGTTAACAAACATTACCCAAACGACGACCCAATAGGAGTTTAAAGACATCCTTCCTGTAGGAGTTAAAAACATTACCCTAACGACAATCCTACAGGAGTTAAAGACATACTTCCTGACGACGATCCAATAGGATTTAAAAAACACACTTTCTACTGGAGTTAAAAACATTACACTGACGACAATCCAATAGGAGTGTAAAAAAGACATCCTTCCTGCAGGAGTGATCGGCGCGGTGGAGAGAAGGGAGGCCGATTTCTCCCTCAACATCGCCATCACACAGGACCGAGAGGAGAAGGTGGACTGCACCATCGGATACCACGTGGAACCGATCACCTTTGCGACGTCGAAACCGCGGCCGTTGAACCAAGCGCTGGCTCTCATTCGGCCGTTCGCTCCCAATGTGGGTTGTTGAGTCGTTGCCCTTGTTTGTGCTTGTTTTTTTTTTTTTTTGGGGGGGGTGTTTGTGTCTTGTTTGTTTGGTTGGTGTATGGGTATGTCTGGTTTTGTTTTGTGTTTCTTTTTTTTGTCGGTTGCTTTCTCTCTCTGTCTGTTGTTGTCTGTCTCTCTCTCTCTCTCTCTCTCTCTCTCTCTCTCTCTCTCTCTCTCTCTCTCTCTCTCTCTCTCTCTCTCTCTCTCTCTCTCTCTCTCTCTCTCTCTATTAACAAATTTCAACCATACATCTTTAATTCCATACAATGAGAAAAAATCATAAATTAGCAAAAAAAAAAAAAAAAGTAAAAAAAAATGATAAATAGATAAATAAATAAATTGAAAATAAAACAAACGACCCAAAACAAATAACAAAAAAAATCCAATCGCCACAACTAATCTCTCCTCAGATGTGGGCAGCCTTCAGCATCACTCTGGTGGTGACTGGGCCCTTGTATTTCCTGACCTGCAAGTTCACCGTCGCCCCGTTCAAGAAGGTCACGCCCCCGACGTTGGTCAAGTCCTACTTGATCATCTTCGCGGCGTGTTTCAAGTGAGTGAAGTTCGTAGTTTGCGATGCTGTGGGAGTGTGGGTCATAGCATGTGGTTTTCTGTTTGGATTCGTTGGCTGAGGATGTGCTTTTCTGTTTGGATTCGTTGTCTGTTTATATATTTGCTATATACAATATATTTATACAATAAAATTCAGAGGATTTTCTTTTTGGATTTGTTGTCTATTTATATATTTTCTGAGAGGATGTGCTTTTTGGCTTTGTTATCTATTTACATTTTTATTCAGATGATGTGCTTTTCTCTTATCTATGGTCTATTTGTATATTCATCCATCCATTTTTTGGTTTGGTTATATATGTTTATGTATGCATTCCTGTATGATCCATTATTTGAGAACCTATTCACCTTCCCCATAACCCATTAGAAAACAACCCATCTATCCACAGCCAAAACGTAATCTATCGATTGCTTGATTCATCCATTTGCTTACACAACCCTCTATCTACAGCCAAAACTTATTGATTAATCTATCGACTGCTTGATTCATCCATTTATCTGTATATCTATTGATTCAAAATATTCCTCATAAATTTAAGAATCCACTCACCTTATCATCCTCACTTTCCCGATAACTCTGCGAAAAACATCCCTCTTTTCATAACCAAAAAACATCGATTAATTGATTAATTGCTTGATTCATTCATTTAATCATATACATATTTATCAAATATACTCATTCAGAATTTGAGAATCCAGTTACGTTCCCGACACGTTCACGAAAAAATAACGCCAGAACATATTGATCAATTTATTAATTGCGTAAGTCATTCATTTATTGATATAAATATTTATTCAAGATACTCAGAATTATGTATTTATTAAAGGGACTCGCCCAGAATTATGCTTTTATTAAATACTCAGCATATAAAATTTTACCAAATATTTATTACATCAAACTTTACCAAACATTCATTATTATCAAATCTTACCAAATACTTATCACATATCCACGAAAGACAACCTTCCAGCATCTAAAACCCCGCCCCCCCCACCCGAAAACCCCACTAAACCCCCCCCCGACCCCCTACCCCCCCCCCGAAACCCCACTCAACCCCCCCGCGAAAACCCCACTTAACCCCCCCACCCAAAAACCTACTAACCCCCCTCCCCCGCCCGAAAACCCCGCTTAACACCCCCCACCCCACCCCGAAACCCCACTTAACCCCCTCGCCCGAAAACCCCCCTCAACCCCCCCCTCCGAAACCCCCAACCTTCAACCCCCCCCGCCCGAAAACCCCACTCAACCCCCCGAAACCCCACTCAACCCCCCCCCCCGAAAACCCCACTCAACCCCCTCCCCCACCCGAAAACCCCACTCAACCCCCCCCCACCCCGAAACCCCACTCACCCCCCTCCCCGAAAAACCCCACTCAACCCCCCCACCCACCCGCCCGAAACCCCACTCAACCCCCCCCATCCCCAAAACCCACTCAACCCGAAAACCCCACTCAACCCTACCCCCCCCCCTTCTCCCAGCCAAGGCGTCAAGTGGTTGCCAGTTCTCTCCAACCGCGTGTTCGGAATCACGTACGTCATCACCATGTTCGTGACCGTCACTGTGTACGTGGCTATGTTGACGGCGACGCTCACCCTCCCTACACTCTCTCCGACGCTCAACACTTTGGAGGAACTTGTCAGGTCGGACTTCTCGTGGGGTATACAGGTCAGTTATTGTTTATTATTTTATTTATTTTTTTTTATTATATTATTATTATTATTATTTTATTATTATTATTTTTTTTTGGACGTGTGTGAGTTTGTTTCCTTATTTTCTTTGGTTTGTTTGGTTGTTTGTTTTGTTTCGTTTATTTTTTTTATTTCTTTGTTTTTTGCTGATATCTATATTTCGTTTTATTTTTTGCTTATTTCTTTGTTTTGTTTTGTTTTGGTTATTTCTTTGTTTCGTTTTGTTTTTGTTTATTTCTTTGTTTTGTTTTATTTGTTTTTGTTTATTTCTTTGTTTCGTTTTATTTGTTTTGTTTTATTTCTTTTATTGTTTTATTTTGTTTTGTAAATTTTGTTTCGTTTTGTTTTGTTTGTTTGTTTTACTTGTTTTTTTCATTTCTTGTTTCGTTTTATTTTTTGTTTATTTTTTGTTTCGTTTTATTTCTTTGTTTGTTTTATTTGTTTTTGTTTATTTCTTGGTTTCGTTATTTGTTTTTATTTCTTTGTTTTGTTTTATTTGTTTTTGGTTATTTTTCGTTTCGTTTTGTTTTTATTTCTTTGTTTAGTTTCGTTTGTTTTTATTTCTTTGTTTCGTTTTATTTGTTTTGTTTATTTCGTTTTATCTAATACATGTTTGTTTGGTAATTTTACAGAATAGTTCCGCCTAACGGATAGCAATGATTTTGGTATCGATGGATTCCTCTCGCTTTCTAGTTTCCACCCCCCCCACCTCCACCCCTTACTCCTACCCCACCCCCCACCCCTACCTCCACCCTTACTCCTACCCCACCCACACCCCTACCTCCACCCCTTACTCCTACCCACACCCCTACCTCTACCCTTACACCCCCCACCTCCACCCCTTACTCCTACCCCACACCCCCATCCCTACCTCCACCCTTACTCCACCACACCCAACTCCACCCCTACCACACACCCCTACCTCCAACCTTACTCCCACCCCACACCACACCCCTACCTCCACCCTTACTCCTACCCCACACCCTACCTCTACCCCTACTCTACCGGTAATTTTCTATATTACGTCCGCATAACCGATATCGACGATTTGGTATCGTTGGATTCCTCTCACTCTATACAATGCAAAATATGTAGGTTTTATTGCGCGGAAACCCCTTGTTAGCGACAAACTTGGCCCCGATAGCGGGGGCGACGATGTCGGAGCGGCGGACGTATATAAAATTACCCTAATAATATAACTCACAATGAAAATAATCATGGTTATTCACATGACTTTCCATTGCGACCCCCCTGCGGGGGCTGCCGCCCCCCAACCCCCGCCGAGGAAACAAAACCTCCACCACGTATTCACAGCAGGATAGAGCGCACACGAACTAGATGGGAGCCGATAACCTACAAATAACCGACGGAGGAAGCCGTGGCGGAAGTACATCTTTAGCAGTTTTTTCCCGCTAGTTTCAATTTCAAGCAGAAAATCCGTCTCCGAATACGAGCACCCTCCACACTCGGCCATCGCGGCGGCTATGACTGCCTTCTGAACGCGACGGTTATTTCGGTTAGGAATACGAATGTCGTTATTCCAGAGGAAGGGAAAATCGACCTTGAGGCCATCGGTGTAACATCGAAAAAGGGCAACAACCGCCTACGAGGGCGGGCCACCCTGTTCATCCTGATTATACTACAATCGTCTCTATATACAATGCTGACTATGCCAAGGTTAATATGCTGATTCAGTGGGAATTTTACGAGGTAATTGTAATATTACGCCCGCCACTCCGACATCGACGATGATTGTGTAACGCTCTAGCCTGCCGGGAATACGTGGTGGAGGTTTTGTTTCCTCGGCGGGGTTGGGGCGGCAGCCCCCACCCCACGTGGGGTCGCAGGGGCGCAGCCCCCTGCGATGAAAGTTATATGAATACCATGGTTATTTTCACTGTGCGTTATATTATTAATGCTATTTAACCCGCATTTTCCCTGGAACCTTTCATGCCCTCCCCTGCTATCGGGGCCAAGTTTGTCGCTAACGGGGGGTTTCCGCGCAATAAAACTACATATTTGCATTGTATGAGTGAGAGGAATCCAACGATACCAAAATCGTCGATATCGGTTATGCGGACGTAATATAGAAATTACCCTCCTGCCCCACACCCAAACCCCCCACACCCACACCCCATCCTCAAAAATTCTCCCACACCGCAGGACTTGGGTGCGGCAGACTACCAGCTCCTGAAATCTTCGACAGTTCCCTTGTACCAGAAGGTCTTCAAGGGGCTTAGCCCTTGCCCCTCGTTGGATGAGTGCATCACCCTCGCCCGGGACTCGAAATATGCTTTCATAACGTGGCGGACCTATTTGGAGGATCGGATAGCTGTGAGGTGAGTGAGGAGGGAGGGAGGGAAGGAGGGAGGAGGGTGAAGGGAGGTGGGAGGTGGGAGGAGGTGAGGAGGGAGGGGAGGAGGGAGGGAGGAGGGAGGAGGTGAAGGGAGGTGGAGGTGGGAGGAGGAAGGGAGGTGGAGGTGAGGAGGCAGGTGGGAGGGAAGGAAGGAGGCAGGGAGGGAGAATGGAGGGGGGCGGAGGGTGAAGGGAGTGGGGAGGGAAGGAGGAGGGAGGGAGGGAAGGGGAAAGGGAGAAGGGAGGAGGGAGGGAAGGAGAGGGAGAAGGGTGGGGTAGGGAAGGAGGTGATAGGGTGAGGTGAGGGATAGAGGAGGGGAGGTGTGAAGGCGAAAGAAAGGGAGGGAGAAGGAGAGAGGGTAAGGGTGGGAGTGGGGTGAGAAGGAGATAGTGAGTGGGAGGGAGAGAGGGGTGAGGTGAAGGAGGGTGGAAGGGAGAAGGAGAAAGGGGGCGAGGGTAGAGAAGAGGGAAAGGGAAAGAGCGAGAAAGAGAGAGAAGAGAAAGACAGAGACAGAGACAGAGACAGAGAAAAAAGAAAAAGAGATACAAATATAAAGAGAAAATAAATAAAGAAGCACAGAGATACAGAAAAAAAAATCTTTATTCACGGGAAATCCTAGATTAGTTCAGACTCCCAAATAAACCAATGCCGAATGTCATTTTCATCTCCTCAACCGGAAAACTGATCTAGAATTTTGAACTCATTTTTTTTTCATTCCAGAATTCACACAAAACAAACAAACTTTGATTTAACTCTTGTCTAAAAGCATACATTTTCCCAGGCCGTCATGTCTCCCCTTGTAAAGCAAACAAACAACACAAATTTCAAAGTCAATAAAAAAAAAATCATATTGCTTTTTTTTTAGAAACGTGATGGATAGGACTCTGTTTACTACATAGCGTGTTTCTTTGCTTATTCTTCCTACTGTCTATCTATCTATCTTTGTGTCTATCTGTCTGTCTACTTGCCTGTCAATCCATCTGCTTATCGACCTCTTTTTGCCTATTTATCCATCTGTCTGTCAACCTGTCTGTCTATTTATCTTTCTGTCTATTCATCCATCTATCTATCTATCATCTATCTATTTTGAATCCCCTTCTCTTCACTGCGATCTAAATTTCTCTCCTGTTTCATAATTAAACATCCTTTTCACTTACATCTGCGACCGGCGAGAGACAGCTGCACGTGGCCACCGGCGACATCTTCCCGGTAGAACTGGGTTGGGCCATGAACCCTGGGTGTCCATATCGCCACGCCTTCGACAGGAAGATCAGAGCGCTGTTGCAGAGCGGCTTGATCTCCAAGGTTTGGGATTGTCTGTTTGTCTGTCTGTCTATCTATCTATCTATATATAATCTTTTCTCTTATATCTGACTCTCTCTCTCTCTCTCTTCTCTCTTCTCTCTCTCTCTCTCTCTCTCTCTCTCTCTCTCTCTCTCTCTCTCTCTCTCTCTCTATATATATATATATATATATATATACCATATATATATACATATATATAGTATGTAATATACACACATACATATATGTATGCAGTATATATTGTATATATACATATAATATTATATAATAATATATAATATATATATATTATTATATATATATATATGTATGTATAATCATATATAATATATGTATATATTATATATATATATATATTATATATATATATATTATATATATTATATATATATATGATATTATATATAACACACACACACATATGATTATATATGATTTATATAAATACATATGGTATATATATATTATATATATAATAATATATATATATATATAAATCACATATAATATAAGTGTATATATATACATACATACATACATACATATATATATATATATATATATATATACTATATATATATATATTACCATCACCGTTACAATAATCTTCATATGATCAGAACCATCACAGTCGCAATCATCACCATCGTTATCACGCATCATGCATCATCATTATCGCAATCACCACCATCCTCATCACCTTCACAATCACCACCCACCTCACCACCACCACCAACCCTCACCCCCACCACCACCCCCACCCTCACCACCACCTCACCACACCACTCTTTGGCTATCAGTGGCTGGACGACCTGATCCACGACCCCCAACGCGGGAGCTGGACGGAGAAGTGGGCGTGTCCGAGACGACGCATCCCAGCCCCTCAGTCTTGACCATCTGCAGGTAGGTTATTATGATGGGGGGGGGAGGTGAGTCATATATATTATGTATATATGTATCTATATCTGTATCTGTGTGTTAGTATTCATATCTATTTGTTTTTGTTGATAGGTGTGTCGGTCTGTCTACGTACACGCATAAACATGCATATATCAACACACACACACACACACACACACACACACACACACACAACACACACACACACACACACACACACACATATATATATATATATATATATATATTATATATATATATATATATATATATGTATATGTATATATATGTATGCATATTTGTGTGTGTGCGCACGTGTCCGTATATTACATATTTGTACATGTAGTAAATATATATATATATTATATATATATATATATATATATATATATATTATATATATTATATATATATGGTGTGTGTGTGTGTGTGTGTGTGTGTTGTGTGTGTGTTGTGTGTATGTGTGTTTGTGTGTGTGTGTGTGAATGTGTGTTGTGCGTATATGTACATATTTATACATATATGTAATATATATATATATAATATATATATATATATTTATATATATATATATATATATGTGTGTGTATGTTGTGTGTGTGTGTGTGTGTGTGTGTGTGTGTGTGTGTGTGTGTGTGTGTGTTGTGTGTATGTATGTATGTATGTATGTATGTATGTATGTATTTATGTATATGTATGTATAAGTATGTATATATATCTATGAATGTATGCATGTATATATGTATTCATGTATGTATGTATGTATGTATTTATATATAATGTATATATGTACACACACACATCTGTGTCTACAAATCTGTAATTTACAGACACAGAAACACACAGGTAAATAGATGGATAAATAAATAAAAGAGATGGAGAGAGAGAAATGAATAAATGAGAGAGAGAGAGATAGATAGATAGAGAGAGAGAGAGAGAGAGAGAGAAACAAAAAGGGAAAAATACAATTAAAACTCGTAGATTCGGAAATACCATTTTTTGAATGCATGTGAACGTTTAAGTTTACGTTTTAATATTAAATTTCCCATTTTCTTCCAGGGCGTTTTCTTTCTCCTGGGCATAGGGTTCAGCCTCTCGTGCATCTCCTTTGCCTTTGAAACGACACTGTGTTCAAAGAAGAAAACGGGAATATAGAAAGTGGAAATTAAAAAGAAAACGTAAACAAAGGAATTGAAATTTTATAGAAAAAGTAATCATAGAAAACGGAAATGACGAAAACGAGTATAGAGAAAATGGAATTAAAAGAAAACGTAATCATAGAAAACGGAAATGGAGAAAACGCGTATAGAGAAAATGAAATTAAAGAAAACGTGATAATAGAAAATGGAAATTCAAGAGAAAAAACAGCAATGCAGAAAATATAGGAAACGTGAATAAGGAAAATGGAAAGGTAGAAAACCTAAATAGAGAAGACAGAAATAATAGAAACGGATATAAAGAAAATGGAAATTAGAAAAACGGAAACATAAAAAAAACAGGAATGTAAAAATGTAAACGTAGTGATTGGAAATGTAGATATTCTGCAAGTCACCACAGACACAGAAATACATAAGGAGCAAATTATATGATCCACACAAAAAAAAACATGCACATACACAGGCACACATACATATATAGACCGGCATGTGTACCAGATAGACCTATACATACATACAAGTCATATTAGTTTACATGCGGGAAAACACACATTTAACGTTAAGTGCCGTAAAAAAAAAAAAAAAAAAAAAAAAAAATGACATTCATAAAACACAGATGCTCAAGTTTGTATTTTAATCGTCTATTCATCATTTCTCTCTGTATTTCACTATTTATTCGTTCGACGTAATGAATATAATAAATGTATTTGGTAAAAAAAAAAAAAAAGTTTTGTTTCTTCGAATTTTTTGCTTTTTCAATAAATAATTTTCTTGCAACTTTTCTTCAACACCTCAGTGGAGAGAAGAAAAA